TTGTTTTGTTTTTTTTTTGTTGTTGTTTTTGAGATAGGGTCTCTCTCTGTCTCACTGGCTGGAGTGCAGTGGCACAATCTTGACTCACTGCAACCTCTGCCTCCCGGGTTCAATAGATCCTCATACCTCAGCCTCCCTAGTAGCCGGGACCACAGGTGCGCACTACACGCCCAGCTCATTTTTGTGTTTTTAGTAGAGACAGGGTTTCGCCATGTTGGCCGGGCTGGTCTCGAACTCCTGGCCTCAAGTGATCCATTTTCCTCGGCCTCCCAAAGTGCTGGGATTACATGCGTGAGTCACTGCGCCTGGCCCAAGTCAACTTTTTTTTTTTTTTTTGAGATGGAGTCTCGCTGTGTCATCCAGGCTGGAGTGTGGTGGCGCAATCTTGGCTCACTGCAAGCTCCGCCTCCCAGGTTCAAGCGATTCTCCTGCCTCAGCCTCCTGAGTAACTGGGACTACAGGCGCCCACCACCAGCCCGGCTAATTTTTTTGTATTTTTAGTAGAGACGGGGTTTCACCGTGTTAGCCAGGATGGTCTGGATCTCCTGATCTCGTGATCCGCCCGCCTCGGCCTCCCAAAGTTCTAGGATTACAGGTGTGAGCCACCGCGCCCGCCCCTAGTCAACAATTTTTAAGACAAGAAAGGGGAAGAAAACTAAAATGTAATAATGTAATAAGGCCGGGCGTGGTGAATCTTATAGCACTTTGGGAGATTAAGGCAGGAGGATCGCTTGAACCCGAGAGTTCAAGACCAGCCTAACCTGAGCTACAAAAAGAGACCCTGTCTCTACAAAAAATAAAGAAATTAGCTGGGTGTGGTGGAACATGCCTGTAGTTCCAGCTGTGTGGGAGCTTGAGATAGGAGGGAGGCTGAGGTGGGACGATTGCTTGAGTCCAGGAGTTCCAGGCTGCAGTGAGCCATGATGGCGCCACTGCACTCCAGTCTGGGTGACAGGGCGAGACCCAGTCTCAAAAAAAAAAAAAAAAAAAAAAAAAAAAGCCATTACTGTCATCAGCGTATATGTAGTGCTATAGCGATGCCAGAAAAATGTTCATTTTGAATAGGATGAGCAAATGTTAACTATTTAAAACAACTTCTAAAAAGAACTTTTCCATTTAATTCAGTTTATTTAGAATTTAGCTCACATATAGTGTCAGTCTTTCCTACTGGACTGTAAATGTCGATGTTGTCTGTTTTGTTTACCAGTATGTTCCCAGTGCCTGTCTGATAAATGTTTGTTAAATTAATGAATAAGTAAACATCAAAGTGGGCTAGAGCTATTGGGGGTGTGGCATTCATTAAGTTAATCTAGAAAGTTGTCACAAGATGGAAGGTGTTATTGTGACAAGAGCATGAAGCCAAGGGTGCCCCTCAGAGCTCTGCAGTTAATGAGCTCTGTAGCAGCAACCCTTCTGGTCATACATATATCCTGATTTGTAAAATGAGGGGATGCATTGGATTGTCTCCTTTTTAACATGCTGAGGTTTGTGAACAGTGTAAACTTAAAACATTTAGAGCCAGATAAAAAAGCATGACCACTAAGAATTTAAGTGCACTATCAAGGTTTTATGCTAAAATACCTTTGACATTTGCACCAGACACTGCTATAAAGTGTCATAAGAAAATGGTATTTCTAGTATGGGATGTATTGTGAAGATATTCACAAAGCAGTATCTTGAAGATTCTCATTAGGTAGAATGTTGAGATTAATTTAGTATTTTATTTATACCCTGGCTACTTTCTTTCAAACAAGATTTGAGATAGCAATTCAAGCTAGTTTTTTTCCCCACTCAGGCAAAAGTTCCTTAGATGCTATTGAAAAACATTTTAGGCTGGGTGCAGTGGCTCACACCTGTAATCCCAGCACTTTGGGAGGCAGAGGCAGGCAGATCGCTTGAGCTCAGGAGTTTAAGACCAGTCTGGGCAACATGGTGAAACCCATCTCTACCAAAAATATGAAAAATTAGCCAGTTGTGGTGCATGCCTGTGGTCCCAGTTGCTCAGGAGGAGGAGGTGGAAGGATCGCTTGAGCCCAGGAGGTCGAGGGCTGCAGTGAGCCAAGATGGCACCATTGCACTCTAGCCTGAGTGACAGAGACCCTGTCTCCTAAAAAAAGAAAAAAAAAAAAGATTTTATTTATTAATACTTTTATCTTTTAACCCTTAAATTTTTGGTATTTCAGGAACTATAATTAGGATTAGAAGAGGAGAAATGGTTCAATAATGCTATTTTAACTTGAAGTTCTAAAATTAATGGCTTTTAAACAATAAGAATGACTCTAGTGTATAATTTTCTAAATGAGTCTAAATATCTTCAATGCTGTGCATTTCAGCATAAGGAGATTTACAGGTGTCACCACACAAACTCCATAGTATTTGAAGATTAAACTAAGTATCTTAAACTAGTTACTGCCCGGCGCAGTGGCTCACGCCTGTAATCCCAGCACTTTGGGAGGCTGAGGCGGGTGGAACACCTAAGGTCAGGAGTTCAAGACCAGCCTGACCAGTATGGTGAAACCCATCTCTACTAAAAATACAAAAATTAGCCAGGCATGGTGGAGTGCACCTGTGGTCCCCGCTACTCGGGAGGCTGAGACAGAGAATCACTTGAACCCGGGAGGTGGAGGTTGCAGTGAGCCGAGATCACACCCCTGCACTCCAGCCTGGGCAACAGAGCGAGATTCCATCTCAAGATAAATAAATAAAAAATAAAATAAATATTTTTAAAAAATTAAACTAGTTATTCAAGGAAGCAGGACACAAACTCTTGAGGAGTAGGTTATTTATGAAGAACTAGACAGCAAAGGAGAACTGGGAAATAGGTTTCCTTGAGCTAGAGTACCCGGGTATTCGTTCATATCTCTGCGTGGAAAACATGGTCTGTCATCATAAAGAGAAGATTTTGTGAAAGTGTTAATTTCTCTGCAACCATTTCTTTTAGGTTGGAGAAGAACCATCACTAGCTACTGTAATCCTTGTGCGTATATTTGCTGATTAATAAGCCAGTGACATTTTTGTTTCAAGTAAAAGTGTTTTTTTTCATAATATCATTAGTCTTAAGTAAATGTCATGCTTGCATTTTATACATTTCACATTTCCTTAAGTGATCCCAGGCCAGACAACACTGAAAACTCATTTCTTCAGAGAGGCTTATTCGAGCTCTGTAGGAGTATAAACATAACTGTGATCCCCAAATCTAACCAGTCTTTGGCCATGGTATCCAAAACATTTTATATTTTGACTTTTTTTTTTTTTTTTAAACAACTTAGGTCCTAAAATATATTTTTTTGGAAGAAAAAAGTTTATTTTAGTATATTTAATGGCACATGTTTCCTGATTTTTGAACAGGAATTCCTCCTCTTCATTTTACATTGGGCCTTGTGAATTATTTAGCCAACCATGTTCACATTCACACACAAGCATACATACGTACATACATTTATTTATTTGTTTTTTGAGACAGAGTCTCGCTCTGTTGGCCACGCAGAGTGCAGTGGCATACTGTAGGCTCACTGCAACCTCTGTCTCCCGGACTCAACCTATTCTCCTGCCTCAGCCTCCCGAGTAGCTGAGATTACAGGCGTGTGCTGCCATGCCTGACTAATTTTTGTGTTTTTAGTAGAGACAGAGTTTCACCATGTTGGCCAGATTGGTCTCAAACTCCTTACCTCAGGTAATCTGTCTGCCTCGGCTTCCCAAAGTGCTGGGATTACAGACATGAGCCACCGCCTATTTATTTTCTTACTGATCTTGAAATAAACCTTTCTTGACTCTTTATCCTCAGTATCCCTATATCAGCGTAACTTTTGAAAGAGGTCATTCCTGTGTTTGCACTCTGTCTTAAACATACTCCAAGTCATCTCTCTTCTCTTCCCGTAGATGGCGTTTGTTAGATTCACCGTCTACCTCACTGTTGCTAATCCAGCACTCAGTTCTCAGCTGCCTCTCCATGGCTCATGAGTAGCATCAACAGATTGGGAGGCTCAACCCTTCTTGCTACATTTTCTTCATTTAGCTTCTAGGACAGCATGCTGTCTGCTATCTTTGAGTTCTTCCTTCCTTATTCCCTAAAAAACAGTTTTATACAAATGTTTTATACAAATATAACAATATATTATACAAATATAGTAGCAAAGTATGTCAAAGCTAAATAAGTCACTCAATATTTATATATTTCATATTAAGATTATGCCAATAAGGTCAGGCACAGTGGCTCACATCTGTGATCCCAGCACTGTGGGAGGCTGAGGTGGGCAGATCACCGAAGGTCGGGAGTTCAAGACCAGCCTGGCCAACATGGTGGAACCTCGTCTCTACTGAAAATACAAAAGTTAGCCCGGCATGGTGTTGGATACCTGTAGTCCCAGCAACTCGGGAGGCTAAGCTGGGAGAATTGCCTGAATCCCAGTGGCAGAGGTGGTGATGAGCCAAGATTGCACCACTGCACTCCAGCCTGGGAGACCAGGTGGGACGCTGTCTCAAAAAAAAAGGTTATGCAAATTAAAGCAATTTTAACATTTATAATTGATAAATGAACTTTGCTTTAATGTATCTGTTTTCTAGGTTTAGAATTTCAAGATAACTCCTGCCGCCCTGGCAATTTAAAAGCTTTTATTATTTAGATTTGAAATTATTCTGTATTGAGTACTGAATGTTTCTTAAGAAACTCAGCATATTCCATAGTCAGTATAATTTAAGACATATCTGAGCCAGAGAGTCCCTTATTCGATCAGAAATACTTATATTAATACTTCATTTTAAAAGCTGCATTAATAATAGCCTAAGTTGTAGTTTGGTTCATTATTAATAATGCTGAACTTTTTTTTTCCTATTTTTTTTTTTTTTGGAGACAGTCTCTCTCTGTGGCCCAGGTTGGAGTGCAGTGGCCCGATCTTGGCTCATGGCAACCTTTGCCTCCTGGGTTTGAACTTTTGTTTGAAAGTATAGGGATCTGGTGGGAGAGAAGCCAGTACATTAACTTTTAGAAATTTGTTATACAGGATTATCTGAACCTTCTTCTATTGCAAAACATGAAGATAGTTTGCTTAAGGATTTATTTCAAGACTACGAAAGATGGGTTCGTCCTGTGGAACACCTGAATGACAAAATAAAAATAAAGTTTGGACTTGCAATATCTCAATTGGTGGATGTGGTAGGTGTGCGTATCCTTCTATACTCAATTTCTCACAGATTTAGTGAGAGCCTGATGTGTGGCCAGGCACTGTGCTAGGCACCAAGGATTACAAAGGTGATTGAGGCAGTCCTTTGCCTGAAGGAACTCACCAAGGAAAAGTAATGATTGTGTCACATACATGATAACACACTGTGTTTATATATTTTATAGTTTAGAAACTGTTTATCTCAATTTGGTAATTATAAGTCTATCTTTAACAAATTCAAAGATCTAAAACATTGTATATTCCTTAAATGTGTTAAAAATAGGTTCAAAAAGTTTAAGAGTAACTTGTTAGCTTGAAAGTAGGGAAAAGAAAAAAAATTTTTTACGTTTAAGAGAAAAAGTCCAAAAATAGAGTGGTAGATTCTTAGGACCTAAAAGTATCACAAGAGATCATTATCTTGGGCTCACACTTAAAACATTTCAGAAATTTTTCCATGTGACATTCATCAGTAGAATAAGTTCCCTTGATAAATTGTTCTTATTGCCAAGGGATTCTATCTATTTAAACTAAAACATTCGTGCTAATTTTTAAACTAGTTTCTTCTTGTTCTGAACGTGTAAATCAATAATTATTTCCCTGTTGTGTTCCCAGAATAACCAAGTATATGTATACATATATATATGTATGTTTTAAATAACATTTATAGATGTGCTTTGTGTTCTGATTACAGAAGCAATGGATGATTTTTGTAGAGAATTTGGAAAGGGCAAAAAATTACAAATGAGAAGTTAAAAATTGACTGTAATCGTACTACCCGGAGATGACTAATATTAATAATTAGTTGTGTTTCTTGCCAGACTTTCTTTGTGTGTATGTTACAAAACTGTAATAATATTTTAGAAATAATTTGATTACTGCTTTTTCTCTACTATGACATAATGAACATTTTCCTATGTCATTACATGCTCTTCAAATGTAATTTTTAATGGTTACATATTTCATCTATAATTTATTTAAGCATTCTCCCATTTTGAACAGAAACTTGTTTCCAATTTTTCTTATTATAATTAAAAACGATGAATATATTTGTATACAAATGCCTGAACATCTCCTTTCCTTAAGAAAGGCAGTTAGTGAACCAAAGGATATACCTTTTTCAAAGTCTATATCTATGTCATCTAACTGCTTCCAGAAAGGTTAATGAATATATATGGACTGTGCACTCAACCTTTGGCTAGTCAATATGGGGAGATTTTAAATGAAAATAGGAAAGTGGAAAAGTAAGGTGGTGGCCAGGCACGGTGGCTCACGCCTGTAATCCCAGCACTTTTAGAAGCCAAGGTGGGTGGATCACTTGAGGTTGGGAGTTTGAGACCAGCCTGGCCAATATAACAAAACCAGATTTCTACCAAAAATACAAAAATTAGCTGGGCGGTGGTCTGTGCCTGTAATCCCAGCTATTCAGGAGGCCAAGACAGGAGAATCGTTTAAACCCTGGGAGGCAGAGGTTGCAGTGAGCTGAGATTGTGCCACTGCACTCCAACCTGGGCAACAGAGCACGACTCTGTCTCAAAAAAAAACAAAAAACAAAAAACAAAAAAAACCCAGGAAAATAAAAGTAAGGTGGGTGGGGCTTGCTCTCAAAGATCTTTCTGGTTGAGGTCATTGGCACACAACTGGTGTAGAAAACTGTAGCACTAACTCATGATACCAGAAAGAGCTGGGAATTCAGATCTTGATGAATGACCTTATCAAAGAAGGTAGGGTAGATGAGGTGGCACCTGAGCTGGCTTTGTAGGAAGTGTAGGGTTTGACATGGCAGAGAGGAAAAGTATTTAAGTACAAAGGAACAATATAATCGTAGGTATGATAACTGAGCCTTGCTGTACAGCTGTTTAGATCAAAAGATGAATGTTGGGAGCCCTGGCATACGGGAGTGGTCTGACTGGATGGTGGAGAAGATGAGGAGGATCCCTGCATGCCACTTTGTCTTTGCTCCTGCCATGTTTACTTCTTGGGAGAGCTTTCCAACAGGCACTAGCCATTTATTATTCAAGACCAAATTCATTTGTCAGACCCTTTGTGAAATCTTTCCAGACTGCATAAGACGGCCTCTCCTGTGTTCAAACTTTTTTTTTTGCACTTTAATATGGTGCCCATTACACTCACTGGTACTCATGTGCTCTGGCATTTCATCTTCAAAACTGGGTGAGCTTTATCCCTTGTATCTGTCCTAGAGCCTAGTACCGTATCTGGTACATAGTAAATGCTGAATGAGTGAGAGACCTGATAGGCAACAGACATGATCAAAGCAGTACTTTCAGAAGATCAGTAAAACAGTAATGTACATGATTTTGAGGAGTGAAAGAGAGACTAGAAGATGAGAGGCAAGTTAGAAGACCACACAGAAGGAGCAGGACTTGACCACTGAATATGGAGGGAGGCATCACATTTTGAAGCCTAGGTGATTAGAGTGGAAGAGTAACACATTTGAAAAATACTGTTGGCCGGGCGTGGTGGCTCACGCCTGTAATCCCAGCACTTTGGGAGGCTGAGGTGGGCAGATCACGAGGTCAGGAGATCGAGACCATCCTGGCTAACATGGTGAAACCCTGTCTCTACTAAAAAATACAAAAAAATTAGCCAGGCATGGTGGCAGGTGCCTGTAGTCCCAGCTACTCGGGAGGCTGAGGCAGGAGAATGGCGTGAACCCGGGAGGTGGAGCTTGCAGTGAGCTGAGATCATGCCACTGCACTCTAGCCTGGGTGACAGAGTGAGACTCCATCTCAAAAAAAAAAAAAAAAAAAAAAAGAAAAAGAATCTTCATTGTTATGGGAGTAGGGCAGAGAAGATGATGAGTTTGATTGTGGTTTGAGGTGTTAATTCCAAAGAAAATGTTCACTAGCTTTTTGGAAGTCAAGACTGGCTCTGAGATGACAGATGAGAACAAGGATGTCCATCTGGAATTGCTGGCTTGGAGGTGACTGTTGAAAACTTTGATGAGTTTTTTTGTTTTTGTTTTTGCCCTTGCCTCTCACCTCCCACTTTGATGAGTTTTTAGAGTTAGTGGGAAGAGCAGGAACCTGATCCTTGAGGAACATTTGTAGAAAGTGGTAGAAGGAAGGGCTAATCAAGCAGAGAAGTTGGAGAAGGGTTGCTTCTTGAGAGAAGAGCCCAGAAAATGAAATGTCAGTGACTACGAACATGGAAGAGGACTGGAGTCAGGGGAGATGAAGGGTGAGGGCCCTGGAGATGGAGAATGGAAAATTCACTGAATTGTGTCTGAGCTATTTTAGGTTCCTTTTATCGCTAAGCTCCCTGGAATCATATTTGGTGGATTCCTACCTTATTTCCCACATATTCTGTCTTTTTTTTTTTTAATCTCATTTTTGGCTTGTTTTGATTTTAAAGATACAATCTTTTTATAAATATGATTACCCCTGAAACTCTTCTGCTATGCTTACACTTGTAGTTAACATTTTTCCATTTATTAGTGGAAATGTTAAATGGGGATCATCCTACATTTGTCTGTCCGCATTTTAACACCTCTGAAATCATGATGTGTCTTATAATTCATGGCAGCTTGAAATTCATTGATAGCTTTTTTTTCTCCTCTTAGTGCTAAGCACATAAAATAATACTGTGCTTATATCTTAGACTGCATCTTAAATTTGAGGAAATATAGTAGTTGAGGTGATTAATGTTAAATGCAAAAATGCCAAAGGTATCTTTTAGTGTAGTTTATCTGAAATAGAGAGTATGTTGAAAGGAATAATGGGAAATTAGGCTGGAAGAAAGATCCTAGCTTTCTAGAGAACCAGACTGATGAATGAAATGTGGGTACTATGTGCAGAAGAGTGTTTATATAACAATGTGAAATTTATTGTTTAAAGAATTATTGTTTCTGTAATTGAAATCAACCTTATTTAAATTTTTGCTTTTTAAAGGATGAGAAAAATCAGTTAATGACAACGAACGTCTGGTTGAAACAGGTATGTATAAAATTCAAACAGGCACCCAATTAGTGACTGAGACACCTGTTTTTATTATATGTCTTGTAGCAGAAATACAAGAGGATGTATATTTGTGAATATGAATGAATACGTGAATATATGGCCTTGGTGGATTGGCAGGATACAGAAAGATGAGGGTAGATGGAGTTCTTGTATTTATTCAGCTAGTATTTTTGGAGTGCCTATTATGTGCCAGACAGTGTTATGTGGAAACAGCAGTGAACAAAACAGACAAAAAACCCTGTGGTATTAGTCTGTCTTCACCCTGCTATAAGGACATACCCAAGGCTGGGTAATTTATAAAGGGAAGAGGTTTAATGGATTCATAGTTCAGCGTGGCTGGGGAGGCTTCACAATGATGGTGGAAGGCGAAGGAGGAGCAAAGGCATGTCTTACATGGCAGCCGGCAAGAGAGCGTGTGCAGGGGAACTGCCCTTTATAAAACCATCAGATCTCATGAGACTTATTCACTATCACAAGAACAGCACAGGAAAAACCGTCTCCCTTGATTCAGTTACCTTTCACTGGGTCCCTCCTACAACATGTGGGGATTATGGGAGCTACAATTCAAGATGAGATTTGGGTGGGGACACAGCCAAACTACATCACCTGCCCTCATGGAACTTCATTCTAGTGGGGGAAAAATAACAAGTAAGTTGTATAGTACCTTAGAAACTGATAAGCTTGGGGAAAAACACACTGGAAAAGAAGATAGGGAATATTGGGGGGGGGGTGTACTTATAAAAATGGTGGTCAGAGAAAACAGCATTGAGAAGACAATGTCTGAACAAAGTCTTGGCGGAGAGGAACCAAGCCATGTGTATATCCGGGGAGGAGTGTTCCAGGCAGCAGGACCTGCAAGTGCAAAGGTTTCTGAGGCTGGTGTGTGCCTAGTGTGTTTAAGCAGTTGCAAAGAGGCTGGTGTGGCTAGTGGTGAGAGAACCATTGGGGAGAGGGGGTGTAGGAGATGGGGTCAGATAAGCAAGAAGAGGCTGGTGGAGTAGCAACTGCTTGTAGGCCACTGCAAGGATTCTGACTCTCTGAGGTGGAAATGGGCAAGAATGAAATGAATTTTTTTTTTTTTTGTAAATAGTCCCTTTTATATAAAGGACTTTTGTTTTTTTCTGGGCCACCATGCATATATCCTAACTGCTGTTGAATGCTTCCTTTTGTTTTCCTTTATCCCTAATTTTTATACCTACTATTTGTTTCCTAACCCCAAACTCCTGAAAGGCATATATGCTTTTCTCAGGCTGCAGCTCCTAACTTGATCACAGAATTGTAACTGCATGGAGGGTAGGGCAAGGTGTTGAAATATGCAGAATGTGCAATAAATCCAACTCCCTTTTGCATGGACCAGAACAGCCAAATTGGGTGACAATACATCTGGAAAAAAGAATGTTTCCCTTGAACCTGGGTATTAAGTGCGTGTGGCTTCAAGTACTGGATGTAGTCATTCAGTTGATGGGAGAAGAGCTGCTGAGCAGAGCCATGAACACATCTAGCTCTGGTTCTCACCTGTGTCTCACAGGGACCATGGTGAGAACCACCACACAAGGGGACAGGGTTACTGGTGCCCATAATAAGGGAGGTGTTCTCTATTCGGGGTAGAGGTGATCTCATGTCTAAAATTTCTGGTGTGACGAAAAAGTATAGTATTCACTGTTTTTGACTATTAGTTTTATTGAAATTGAGGCAGATTTCTTTGTTTTAAAGGAATGGATAGATGTAAAATTAAGATGGAACCCTGATGACTATGGTGGAATAAAAGTTATACGTGTTCCTTCAGACTCTGTCTGGACACCAGATATCGTTTTGTTTGATAAGTAAGTTGTATTCTAAGTATAGTTTCATATTTCCAAAAGAAAACATTTGTGTTTCTATTAGGCACTAATAATTTTTCTCCCTTTTGAAAATTTAGGTATAAAAATCAAATGACGTGACTGTATGTATTGGGTGTGATTACATGTTTTATAGATGAGGAAACAGAGGCTTAGGGTGGTGGTTCACAGAGCTATCACGTGGCAGGGTAGAGGGGTCACACCAGGGGGACTGATACTTCCATTTACCCTTTGATTTACTAGACTATATATTTGGCGGACTTCCAGATTTTTAAAATATGTTTTTTACATCGTTGAGGTCATATTTTATGTTGAATTGTGCATCCTTCTAATTGCGTTTAAATACTGTATTGTCATTTTCCCACAATGAAGAATGCTGGGTTAATTATTAATTCATCTTTAGAGGCATCCTACCTAGGTGTGTTTTGAGGATTTTTTTTTTTTTTTTTTTAACTTAGGGGAGAGGATAATTCTGGCTACCAGTTTTATTTTTTTCTAAGACCACTCCTGGGCAAATCTGGGAATTTGTGCTTATATTAAAGCACTTTATCTAATTTGAAAGAAGGCCATTTGGCATGAGGACAGGGCAACTGCTATGCAAAAATATCTTTAATCTTTTGACACCTTTTACCTCCATGCTTCTTAAGAAGTGAACAAAGCTTGTAAGGACACATGATGCAGCTTCCTGGAGCATCATTTTATTTTCAGTAATTGGAAACATTTTTATATTAAACATGGATATATTACAGAACAGTGTGCAAAAGCCACATTAATTTGAAGACAAAGAGCAACATTTTAAAGAAATCTTACGTTGGTGGTGTGCTTTCCTGCTAGGCTTTTCTAGTATATGAATTCACTTGGTGGGAGAGCTTGAGAGGCACAGCCGCTTTTCAGGGTCATGCCCAGCTTGGTGTTGATGGTCTTTCCCCATCAAGTAAAAAATGGCCAGTATTTGTGATGAAGGAAGAAGAGCACTGTGCAGGGAGTCTAGGAATGTGGATTCAGGTTCTGGCTGTATGCGTGCCCATTGTGTAAACAGTCTGAGTCTGTTTTGTGTGTAAGGTGAGGTCTTTTCAATCATTAGAATCTCAGGCTTCTGTGAAATAGAGATTTGTCAGTTCTGGAGTAGATGCAGAAGAAGGGGTTCAGTTCTCATAGAGTTAGATATTTAAGGAATATATTCCTGGAACAAGAGTATCTGTGTAGCAGATATTCTGTGTAGCAGGTATATCTTATCTGAAGTATAGTAATTTAAAAATTATTTCATGCAATCAGTGATAGGCCTGCATTTATATTAGGCTTATATTAATACAATTCATGTGCATTGTTTAATTTCTGCATTGTTATTGTCTATGTGTGTATTTTAGTGCAGATGGACGTTTTGAAGGGACCAGTACGAAAACAGTCGTCAGGTACAATGGCACTGTCACCTGGACTCCACCAGCAAACTACAAAAGTTCCTGTACCATAGATGTCACGTTTTTCCCATTTGACCTGCAGAACTGTTCCATGAAATTTGGTTCTTGGACTTACGATGGATCACAGGTTGATATAATTCTAGAGGACCAAGATGTAGACAAGAGAGATTTTTTTGATAATGGAGAATGGGAAATTGTGAGTGCAACGGGGAGCAAAGGAAACAGAACCGACAGCTGTTGCTGGTATCCATATGTCACTTACTCATTTGTAATCAAGCGCCTGCCTCTCTTTTATACCTTGTTCCTTATAATACCCTGTATTGGGCTATCATTTTTAACTGTACTTGTCTTCTATCTTCCTTCAAATGAAGGTGAAAAGATTTGTCTCTGCACTTCAGTACTTGTGTCTTTGACTGTCTTCCTTCTGGTTATTGAAGAGATCATACCCTCGTCTTCAAAAGTCATACCTCTGATTGGAGAGTATCTGGTATTTACTATGATTTTTGTGACACTGTCAATTATGGTAACCGTCTTCGCTATCAACATTCATCATCGTTCTTCCTCAACACATAATGCCATGGCGCCTTGGGTCCGCAAGATATTTCTTCACAAGCTTCCCAAACTGCTTTGCATGAGAAGTCATGTAGATAGGTACTTCACTCAGAAGGAGGAAACTGAGAGTGGTAGTGGACCAGAATCTTCTAGAAACACATTGGAAACTGCGCTCGATTCTATTCGCTACATTACAAGACACATCATGAAGGAAAATGATGTCCGTGAGGTCTGTGATGTGTATTTACAAACGCAGATCTGCTTCCATTCTAAGTTCAGAAGTTACTTTCATTAATTTTGGCAGAGTAAACAGCATGACCCTTAAGTAAGACTAAGCATAGATTGAGGGCCAGAATGGTTGACATAATTTTCTATAAAAGATCTTTACTAAGGCTTGTTTCAGTTAAAACACCTGCAAAATGGGGCATCTACACAAATCGCACTTCTCCACTTCCGCCATCAGCATCTTGGATAACTCGAAAGAAAATTTAGTGTTATATATTCTAAGGAATAATAATCCTGCCATATTTCTTGGCTCTGACATGATGAATTTTTTTAATTTCTTGGGGTGAGGGCAGAGGGTGAACTGTTTTAATTTTGTCTTTAGTAACTTTTCTAAATTGTGACAATCTGAAGGCAGAACTCGATTATAACAGTTAATGGAGTTATCAAAAGTTATTTTAGGCTGGGCGCAGCGTCTTCACGCCTGTAATCCCAGCACTTTGGGAAGCTGAGGCGGGTGGATTATTTGAGGTCAGGAGTTCGAGATCAGCCTGGCCAACATGGTGAAACCCCGTCTCTACTAAAAATACAAAAATTAGCCGGGTATGGTGGCACATGCCTGTAGTCCCAGCTACTCAGGAGGCTGAGGCAGGAGAATCGCTTGAACCTGGGAGGCGGAGGTTGCAGTGAGCCGAGATCACACCATTGCACTCCAGCCTGGGCAACAGAGCAAGACTCCATCTCAAAAAAAAAAAAAAAAGTTATTATAAAGAATGAGCCTAATGTGGAATTTATAAATATAGCCAATATATTTTTCTAAAACAAATCTTTTTGTTCATTTATAAGAGAATGTTAGGGAAATTAAGAGAAGTAAGGTGTTCTTTTATGTTGTTATATATCAGAGGATTCATTGAAACTTAGTGTTTACTGTGCTTAATTTGCCTAAAATCAAAAATTTGCTTAAAACTTTTTTTATAGAAAAATTGCTCTGTCTCCTTAAGGTTAATATTTAAAATTCAAGAATTGAACATGAATACATTTTAATTTTATTAATGTGATCACATTGGCCTGCATTTTCTTTCAAAATGTGTAAGATTTCAGTTTTGTCACCGTTATTTCTTCTATTGTGTATTATTTTAAATCTATGACTATAGTAATATTTTCATAATTGAATGCACGTTAAAATTATGTGAATTATAATTTGTAGAGCTATTTTAAATGGAAAATCTTCCATCAGGTATGAGGAGACAGAATAAATCTGGCAAAATAATAGCCTTTACCCCAAAAGGGACATTTGATGTATATTTTTTTAAAACATTTTTTCATATTTGAATGATTTAATTTTAATAAGACTTTCCTTCCTTATTTATTAATTTCAATAGGTTTTTGGGGAGCATGTGTTTGGTCACATGCATAAGTTCTTTCATGCTGATTTCTGAGACTTTGGGCAACCAACATAAAAACTTTTTAATGCTTGTGGGTTTGTAAAGTATCTGTTTGGTGGTAGCATAATTAAATTAGTTTGTAAGGTTTGGAGCTATCAATGGAGTTTTCAAAAGTACATTATATTTATTAGATAATGGTTTAGACTGAGATGGAATTTAATAAATGTCTGCAAAGTATTGTGCAAAAGGGCCATGGCTCATACTACTAGGATCGGGGAGGTTGGCTTTATTTTCAGAGGAAAACTTAGAAGCAGAGGTGGCCAGGTGCGGTGGCTCATGCCCTGTAATCCCAGCACTTTGGGAGGCCAAGGCAGGTGGATCATGAGGTCAGAAGTTTGAGACCAGCCTGCCAATATGGTGAAACCCTGTCTCTACTAAAAATAGAAAAATTAGCTGGGTGTGGTGGTGTGCGCCTGTAGTCCCAGCCACTTGGGAGGCTGAAGCAGGAGAATCACTTAAACTTGGGAGGCAGAGGTCGCAGTGAGCTGAGATTGTGCCACTGCACCCCAGCCTGGGGGACGGAGTGAGACTCCGTCTCAAAATAAAAGAAGCAGAGAAGTAACAGAGTGTTTACAATGCCCTAAATTCTAAATTATCCTACACCTTGGAGGCATAGTTCCTACAGAGGAACTACATAGACACCATCCTTCATAGAGGCTCAGGGCCAGGGAAGCCCCTGGTCAAGGAAACGGCCTGGTAGAAAGGGCTGCTCAGTGGCTGGGCTCATCCTTCTCTTTCCTTGTGGTGGCTCTGAGCTGTTCAGCCAGCTCCCTACTAAAGCTGGCTCCAGGGAGGGCCGTTCTGTGCTCATGAAATTAGACTGAAGTGGTCCCTAGGAAATCCAAAAATAAATAAAGTGTGTATGTGGGGAAGATGAACAGCTTTCTAACATGTATTATTCTGAACCAACTTTTAATTTGGCATGAAATTAATCTCAGGCTAGAGTCTCTCAAAATATTAAAATAAGTAAACACTGCTGGGCAAGAATAAATAGCAAGAATAACTACATAGTAAGAATAACTTTTAGTTTATTGTAAAATATCCAAGTAGTCTATTTTAATCTATCAAAGTAAACCACTTGTAATATAAGTTGATGTGTAAATGAACATATTTTGTAGTGTCTTTTAAAGCTTATATCTATAACAGACCATCAGGCTAGTGTCTGTCCCTGAGCTGAGTATAGGGTCAGTTACTGTTTACAGGCAGCAACGGGAGGCAGAAATTGATTTGGCTTCTAACTCAGTGTGTTTGTTATATGTTAAAATATGTACACAATTTACAATTATTTAATGCATTTTTATTTTTTTCATCACAGGTTGTTGAAGATTGGAAATTCATAGCCCAGGTTCTTGATCGGATGTTTCTGTGGACTTTTCTTTTCGTTTCAATTGTTGGATCTCTTGGGCTTTTTGTTCCTGTTATTTATAAATGGGCAAATATATTGATACCAGTTCATATTGGGAATGCAAATAAGTGAAGCCTCCCAAGGGACCGAAGTATACCTTTAGTTAACACACATACATCTTATGGCACTTAAAAAATTATGAAAATGTAAGTTATGTGTTAAATTTGGTGCAAGCTTTAACAGACTAACAGTTGCTAACCTCAACTTATGTTAACAGATGATCCATTTGAACAGTTGGCTGTATGACTGAAGTAGTAACTGATGAGATAACATTTGATCCTCTAAAGATAGCAGCAAAATATTATCTGAACTGTACTAGTGAAAAATCTAGTATTTGTATCCTGGCAAATAATACTAATTTATAATCCACAGTAAAGTTCATCCTTTGTGCTAGAGAATTCCAGTTGTATTTGAAGACTGATTTTAAAACTTTTCTGCATCTGGTAAAGGTATATAAACTTTCCTGTACTCACTGAGTAACAGCTAATCTTTAATATATATACTGCTATATTTAAAAAGCTGACTACTTGATATAATTACTTAATGTGATGCTTGATATAATAATTACTTAATGTGGCCGGGCACGGTGGCTCACACCTGTAATCCCAGCAGTTTGGGAGGCCAAGGCAGGCGGATCACCTGAGGTCGGGAGTTCAAGACCAGCCTGACCAACATGGAGAAACCCCGTCTCTATTAAAAATACAGAATTAGCCTGGGTGGTGGTGCACACCTGTAATCCCAGCTATTTGGGAGGCTGAGGCAGGGGAATCGCTTGAACCCGGGTGGTGGTTGCGGTGAGCTGAGATCACGCCATTGCACTCCAGCCTGGGCAACAAGAGCGAAACTCTGTCTCAAATAATGAAAACAACAACAACAACAACTTAATGTGATGCTGCTTTTTCATAACCAACGTTTTTAAAATAAATGAAAAATAGGAATTGGGAACTCCTTTAAGGCTTATTCTTTAGATGCTTAAACTTAATAATTATTATGTTAACTATTTCTGTAGCTTACCTTCCACTGTAAAGTCATAGAGTAGACAACTCCTGTGGACACGCAGTAGCATAGCCTTAACATTAATTTCAATCCTGTTGTCCACATTTCCCACAATTAATAGAACCATCTTCTATGTAAATTGTGGTAGTATCTCTTTATCCTTGATCTTAGAATAGTCAGTCCACTACAATCACATGAACCCCATTTAAAAAACATATTTAGGGCCGGGGGCAGTGGCTCACATCTGTAATCCAAGCACTCTGGGAGGCCGAGGCGGGTGGATCACTTGAGGTTAAGAGTTTGAGACTAGCCTGGCCAACATGGTGAAGCCCCATCTCTACAAAAAATACAAAAGATTAGTTGGGCATGGTAGTAGGTGTCAGTAGTCCCAGCTACTCAAGAGGCTGAGGCAGGAGAATCGCTTGAACCTGGGAGGTGGAGGTTGCAGTGAGCCGAGACTGCACCATTGCACTCCAGCCTGGGCAACAAGAGCAAAACTCTGTCTCAAAAAATAAATAATAAAAAACACATTTAGGTCTAACTCATTCTGTGAGAAAAGTCTTCTAATATTAAAAATAGTATTCTAGGCCGGGCGCGGTGGCTCAAGCCTGTAATCCCAGCACTTTGGGAGGCCGAGACGGGCGGATCACGAGGTCAGGAGTTCGAGACCATCCTGGCTAACACGGTGAAACCCCGTCTCTACTAAAAAATACAAAAAACTAGCCGGGCGAGGTCGTGGGCGCCTGTAGTCCTGGCTGCTCGGGAGGCTGAGGCAGGAGAATGGCGTAAAAACCCGGGAGGCGGAGCTTGCAGTGAGCTGAGATCCGGCCACTGCACTCCACCCTGGGCGACATAGCGAGACTCCGTCTCAAAAAAAAAAAAAAAAAAAAAAATAGTATTCTAATTTGGTATAAGCACACTGTTATATACTTGTAATATTTCAACTTTCTCTCTTCATTGTAATTACAATAATAGAATCTTAGAGTTGCAAGGGCCTTTAGATGTAATCAATCTTAGTCTATTAGTACAGCATAAATGATTTAGTACAGTATAATGTATCAAGGATAAAACAGTTACATTTCATCTCTAAAGGTCACCACTTCAGGTGTCACCAGGTAGCAAACACTGACAAAAACCCTGCGTTCAATTTAGGACTCTTAGCTGTTGAGATCACAAACACTTCATTTATTTATAATAAGTAACCTATCTAAGTTCAAGCTAATGCTCTTTGGAAGACAGAGCAGACCCTGTCTAATTTGCATTTAATTGTAGGCAGGTGTTTAATGCCATTTAATGAGTGAAAGCCTGGTGTGATGAATTTAAACTGCCTGTTAGCTACCTTAGCTTGTTGTATACATCCCTGATCTCTCTTATACTGCCATTACTGTTACTTACGATTTTTATATATAAATAAATTTTGTTGACATCTTTCTTTTGACTTATTGAAACATGAGTCACAGCAGGCTGCAATTCTGTCCGTTTTATTTTTGCATAGGAAAAACAGCTAGTGAGACAAGATTCAAACAGTCTCTGAATCATCCGTCAGTGATGATGATCATGTTAAGATTCAGAAGTGTAGTACATGATACTCTTTCTTAACAATTTGTCTAAAGCAATGTTTCTCAACCAGGGGCAGTTTTGCTCCTAAGGGGACATTTAACAATGGAGACATTCTTGGTTATTGTAACTGGTGAAGAAGCAGGGTATGTCATTGGTATCTAGTAAGTTGAGCCCAGGGTACTGCTAAAGATCCTACAATGCATAGGATACCCCCACTCTGTCCCAACACATACTTATCCAGCCCAAAATGTCCATAGTGCTAAGGCTGAGAAACCCTGTTCTAAAGGTTCATGCTATGGTCGGAATGTGTCCTCCCCAAATTCATATGTTGAAACCTAATCCCAGTGTGATTGTCTTAGAAGGAGGGGGCCTTGGAGAGGTGATTAGGCCATGGGGGCTCTGCTCTCATGAATGGGGTTAGTGCCCTTATAAAATAGACCCCACAGAGGTAGCTAGTCCCTTCGGTCATGTGAGGAAACAGCTAGAAGGCACCGTTTGAGGAACAGGACCCTCACCAGACACCAGATTTGCTGGTGCCTTGACCTTGGACCTCCTTCAAAACTGAGAAATAAATTTCTGTTGTTTATAATCCACCCAGTTTATGGTGCACTAAGACAGTTTATTAACAATGAATAACTAGGCATGATTTCTCATGGTATAATTTAGAATTATGCAAGAGAATTAGTTGAAGCTCTCTGAAATGGAGGCACAGCCCTTTAGACCCAATAAAGAATGAGAAATGCATGGTGAGAAATGGGTAACAGTAGGAGATTGCTGAATTAGTATAAACCTGCAAAGAGATTATGGGCTAAATAAGAAAAACCACTGGGAGATCTGCAGTGATACTGAACTGAATGACTTTTCATATTTCTCAACAGCATTTTTCTATCCAGTTTTGTCTTGAAACATTTTTACACGTATATTCCATAGCACAGCACACTACTTATCACATAGAAGAATCACATTTTGACATCTCTTTACCATGCCAAAAAGGCTAGTTAAATGTTCATTTATCCATAATAAATATTCTACTTTTTTTCGCATGATTCTTTTTTTGACAAAAACCAAGATAACTGGAAAATAAGTAAACCTCGAAATGCCAAACACAAAGCTGGTAGCTTGATAACAGAAAGTACGTTCCTACTAAGCAGCAGCCTCCTCCTGCCCTGACACAAGGAAGTCTCCCAGGCAGGCACACAGCTTGGTGCTTATGCATCTTCCCTGGCCATCAGGGGTTGCAGAAACAATCCTGCCGTCCCTAGAATGCACACCAGGGTGAAAACCCACAGAAAAATACGATCAATCACCATGGCAACATACTTCCAATCATCTTGAATCTGCAAAACAAAATGATAAAAGAGGAAAAAAACATGGAGGGAAAGGCAAAATTAATACATTTTCAATACTGAAGATTTAATAAATACATTGCAGTAGAAGCCATTTTGTCTCTAATATGCAAGAAGCCCTTTTTTCCCCCTAATTGATGTAGTCTGAGGAAATCTACCATTCTCAAGTTTCTCTTGATGCAGGAGAGAAACAGGTGTAAAAGATTTGTCATGTTAGATCTGTTTCAAATCAGAAGTTTCCTAATATATGCATAACCTAGTTTTTCTAAATTGAATTCCAATTTTATAAAGTTAGTGAAACCAGTTTGGACTTCCACGGAAGGATTCTGGGCCTTGGTTAGAATGCCTAATATAGTCCAACATAATCTACAAGTGCTTCAAAGTACTCCTTATCCAGTTTTAGATATAAATTTCTGGCTGGGTGCAGTGGCTCACACCTGTAATCCCAGCACTTTGGGAGGCTGAGACCACTTGAGATCAGGAGTTTGAGACCAGCCTGGCCAACATGGTGAAACCCCGTCTCTACAAAAAAATAAAAAAAATGGCCAGGAGTGGTGGTGCATGCCTGTAATCCCAGCTACTTGGGAGGCAGAGGCATGAGAATTTCTTGAACCCAGGAGGCGGAGGTTGTAGTGAGCCAAGATTGCACCACTGCACTCCAGCCTGGGTAACAGAGCGAGACCCTGTCTCAAAAACAAAATAAATTTCCTTTTAACATCTGTTCCAAAAATGAGAACACACATCAGGGCAAGTCCATCCTCATCACCCTTTCCCTCCCCACTGCCCTCTCCACGATGCCCAGCTGATCAAAAGTCATTTTTAGTGTAAGGCCAAAGTATCATGGAATACTGTGCAGTTGGAGAGCAGGTTGAACATCAGAAATAATTGCTGACAATAAAGTAAAAGATGGGAGAAAAAGCAAGACCAAGTGTATATCATACAGCTTCAATTTGGGCTTGAAATAGGAAGGAAAATTGTAGGGTAATTATACTCCTAGACAATTCAGAAAGCAAAGAAGCCATAATTGAATTGAGAGAGAGAACCCATGAATCAGCTGATTTTAAAGCAATAATCAAAATAAAGAGGCAGCATGTAATTTATTAATTTAAGTATACTGAAATGGCACTGGGAGACGAAGATTTTACATCACCATTGTGAGCTTGAGTAAATGTGTCCTCTTGGTGACACTACTGTCATAGGTAAAATTAGAATTATGATGCCATATTTGCCATAAGGTACTTTATTTGAATTCCTAAGACTGGTTTGTGTGTGCTTCAGATACACCTTGAGATGTGAGATTCCTACCCACCCCCTACCAGCCACGTCCTAAGGCTCTAGGAGGCCAGAGGGGTGGAAAAGCAGAGACTTGGAGACAAACTGATTAGAATCCCAGCTCTGCTCCTTTCGAGCTGTGAGAATCTGGGTAAATTCCATGACCGCTCTTAGCCTCATTTTCCTCATCTGTAAAATGGGGATAAGAACAGTACCTCCCTCAGAAGGTTGTTTCAGAAGAGTCCTTAATGAATAGAGCCTAGTGATACTAATGTTGATTTATAAAATGACCCTTACTTAAGCCTCATGAAGAAAGATGACACTTGGGTCTTACACATGAATATAAACAGTGGTGCAAAAAGAGCTGGCTGGACAGAAATTTTTTATCTTTTTTTTTTTTTGAGATGGGGTCTTGCTTTGTTGCCCAGGCTGGAGTGCAGGGGTACGCTGATGGCTCACTGCAGCCTCGACTTCCTGGGCTCAAGTAATCTGCACTCAGCTTCCCAAGTAGCTGGAACTACAGGTGTGTGTCACTACACACAGGTGACTTTTTGGTTTTTTGAGACGCCCAGGCTTTTGTCGCCCAGGCTGGAGTGCAATGGCATGACCTCGGCTCACTACAACCTCTGCCTCCCAGGTTCAAGTGATTCTCCTGCCTCAGCCTCCTGAGTAGCTGGGATTACAGGTGCCCACCACCATGCCCAGCTAATTTTTGTACTTTTAGTAGAGATGGGGTTTCATGTTGGCCAGGCTGGTCTCAAACTCCCAACTTCAGGTGATCCACCTGCCCCGGCCTCCCAAAGTGCTGGGATTGCAGGTGTGAGCCACCTGCAATTTTTTTTTTTTTTTGAGATGGAGTCTCACCCTGTCACCTAGGCTGCAGTGCAGTGGCACGATCGTGGCTCACTGCAACCTCTGCTTCCTAGGTTCAAGCAAGTCTCGTGCCTCAGCCTCCGATGAGTAGCTGAGATTACAGGCTCATGCCACCACCCCCAGGCTAATTTACTGTATTTTTAGTAGAGATGGAGTTTCACCATGTTAGCCAGGCTGGTCTTGAACTCCCAACCTCAGGTGATCTACCCGCCTCGGCCTCCCAAAGTGCTGGGATTACAGGCGTGAGTCACTGCACCTGGCCTGATTTTTAATTTTTTTGTAGAGACAGAGTTTCCCTGCGTGGCCCAGGATGGTTTTGAACTCCTGGGCTCAAGTGATCCTCCTTCCTTAGCCTCCCAAAGTGTTGGATTACAGGCATGAGTCACTGTGCTGGACTTATATCTAACTCCTAAAGTCTTTAAAGCACTTGATATTGGCTATTTTCTGATGAGTCACAGATAGATGAGTGTTAGGCAAAATGGTGAACTAGCCCAAACTGACAGCTGGCCCAGAAGCAAGAGAAGACTAAAGGCCCAGAAACTGGGAAGGTGTGGCCGGGGACTGGGGATGGCAGCCCTGGGCAGGCGGAGGGGCTTGGTGGAGGGGAGGGCTAGGGAGAGTTCTTTGTTCTCTCGCCTCTTTGCCTCTTTAGCCTGCCACTCCCAGCCCAGAGATGCAGGTTCAGGGGGTCCCTTCGCAAGCCCAGCAGAGCCTGGCTGAAGGGAAGTGCAGAGAACTGAGCTGCCCATTGGTAGAACCCGAGGCTTTCCTCCTCCCCCTTGTAGCCCCCGGATTTGTTTCTTTTCTTATTGGCCTGCCTTCTCAAGAATGTTTATGGATAAATGTTGTTCTAAGGGCTCAAAAGGCCAGGTGTGGTGGATCACACCTTTAATCCTAGCACTTTGGGAGGCCAAGGCAGGAGAAATGCTTTAGTCCAGGAGCTCAAGACCAGCCTGGGCAACACAGTGAGACCCCTGCCTCTTCAAATTTAAAAAAAAAATTAGCATTTGGGAGGCTGAGGTTAGAAGATTGCTTGAGCTTAAGATTTAGAGGCTACAGTGAGCTACGATAGCTCCACTACACTCCAAAGTGGATGACAGAGCAAGACCTCAAAACAAAAACAAAAACAAAAACAAAAAAACAAGAAGGCTAAAAATTTTATTGCAGCCTCACTTTTATTTATTTATTTATTTTGGTAGAGATAGGTTTTCCCCATGTTGCTCAGGCTGGTCTTGAACTCCTGGGCTCAAGTGATCTACCCATCTCAGCCTCCCAAAGTGCTAGGATTACAGGCATGAGCCACGGTGCCCATCCCCTTTTATTTTATTATTTATTATCTTTTAAGACATGGGGTCTCATTATATTGCCCAGGCTGGTCTGTAGCTCCTGGCCTCAAGCAATCTTCCTGCTTTGGCCTTGCAAAGTGCTGGGATTACAGGTGTGAGCCACTGTGCCTGGCCATTGCCTCACTTCAGAGAGAGTAGCTGGATACAAAACTCTTCAGCTAAGACTGAAGTTCCACACATCAAGGACCAAACAGCTTCAGTCCAGCAGGAGGTCCTTGGAGGAGATCAGGGTCAGGCAGATAATGAGACATTCTTTGAGGGACAAGGTGATCTGGAGGGGATGACCTTGAAAGGTGATCTAGCAGAGTTTGTGGCTGTGTAGACCCTCAACATTCTGAAAGCCTGGATTTCAGCCCCTTCCCAAACACAATTCAGAAAGGATGACTGACACCCCCAGGAAAAGTGAGTTTACAGGCCCCAAATATACCAACTCAATTATTTGAAAGAAAATTCATAGATTTCAAATAAACATGAGATAAGGGACCATTGGAAACTAAGGAACCTGCAGTTTTACAGAAGAACCAAGTGGAAATAACAGGTGTGAGAAACAGAAAAGTTACAAATCAAGAACTCAGGGGATGGGGTAACTGGCAGGATAGATGCCACTCAGGAAAGAAGCAGAGAGGTGGGAGGAGAGACTGTGGAAAGCTCCTGGGAGCAGCCAGAAGTAATGACGAGATGGGAAGCGTACAGCATAAGAGATGGGGAGGCTGGACGCCGACATGTCGCTGCAACAGGAGCTCAGGAAAAGAGAAAAGGAAGGGGTGGGAAGGAGTCTTTACAGAAATCAGAAGCTGGAATCTCTCAGAATTAAAGATAGCAACTTCAGAATGAACTGGCTCATAACCAGTGCCAAGCAGAGTAGGAGAGACCCTACCCAGACACATTCTCTACAAATTCTAATAGCTCCTAGGCAGAATCCAGTATTCACAAAGGACCAACACTCAGACTCACTTAAAACTTTTTTTTTTTCTTTTTTTTTTTGAGACAGAGTCTTGGTCTTGTCACTTGGGAGTGTAATAGCACAATCTTGGCTCGCTGCAACCTCCACCTCCTGGATTCAAGTGATTCTCCTGCCTCAGCCTCCCGAGTAGCTGGGATTACAGGTGCCCGCCATCATGCCCAGCTAAATTTTTTATTTTTAGTTGAGATGAGGTTTCACCATGTTGGCCAGGCAGGTCTCGAACTCCTGATCTTAGGTGATTGGCCTCCCAAAGTGCTGGGATTACAGGCATGAGCCACCGCGCCCGATCCACTTAAAACTTTTCAAAAGTGACACAGGTGAAAAAGACCGTGGAGCAATATTTAAGTATTATGGAAGAGAATTTCAACCCTAGCTGAAGTATCCAACCTTAGCTGAAGAGTTTTGTAGCCAGCTAAACTCCCTCTTTAAAGTGAGGCTATAATAAATTTTTTAGCCTGCCAGGCCCCAGAAGGTTTACCCTTAAACACTCTTGAGAAGGCATGCCTGTAAGAGAAGGAATTGGCTGGGCATGGTGG